AAATATAAACTTAAATTCCACCAGTTGAAATAGCATACAAGGTTTCAGGCCAAATGGGAATGGCATAGGTAGATGCTTGATGACCAGTGCAGACATGATGGGCCAAAGGGCCTTTATCGATGTTGTAAAAATTCAGAAAAACAGGAGTAGGTTATTCAGCCCTTCGACTCTGCCCTGCAATCACAGCTGATCATCCACTCAGTCCCCTGTTCCCACTTTCTCCCCATACCCTTTGATCCCATTAGCCCTAAGAACGATATCTAACTCCTTCTTGAAAACATTCAATGTTTTGACGTCAACTACTCTGTGTGGCAGATAATCCGACAGGCTCACCAATCTCGAGGTGTAGAGATTTCTTCTCATTTCTGTCCTATTTGGCCTACCCCCTATCTTTAAACTGTGTCTCCAGCATAAAGGATCCCACAGTACTTCCTCAACTCCTGAATAATATTTCTCCTTCATTCCACTTCACTAAAGCAGATAATCTGAACATTTCTATACAAAACCCTGGTTCGGCCACATCTGGAGTATCATGTCCAGTTCTGGTCGCCTCATTACAAGAAAGATGTGGAAGCGTTGGAAAGGGTGCAGAGGAGACTTACCAGGATGTTGCCTGGAATGGAGGGAAGGTCTTACGAAGAAAGGTTGAGAGAGCTAGGACTTTTCTCTTTAGAATGACGAAGGATGAGAGGTGACTTGATAGAAGTGTACAAAATGATCAGAGGTATAGATAGAGCGGACAGCCAGAGACTTTTTCCTAGGGTGGAGGTAGCTATTATGAGGGGGCATAGTTTTAAAGCGAGTGGAGGTAGATATAGGGGAGACGTCAGAGGTAGGTTCTTTACTCAGAGAGTGGTCGGGGCGTGAAATACATTGCCAGAGAGGGTAGTGGAGTCGGCCTCATTAGGGGCATTTAAGTGGCTATTAGATAGGCATATGGATGATAGTATAAGGTAGGAGTGGAATTATGTTGTAACGCTAATGGCACTAGATTAGGAACCCAGACCCCAGCTAATGTCCTGGGGACATGGGTTCAAATCCTACCATGGCAGATGGTGATATTTGAATGCAATGAAAACATGGAATAAAACGCCAGCCTAATGGAAACGTAACCCCGCTTAATGGCTGCTTTTAAAAAAACATGTCCTTTAGGAATGGAAAATGTGCCATCCTTACATGGGCCAGATTCAATGTGACTCCAGACCCACAGCAATTTGGTTGTCTCTCGGTTGTCCTGTTGAGAATAAGCAATAAATGCTGGCCGAGCCAGTGATGCTCACATCCTGTGAATGACTATAAGAAACCTTCCACACCAGCTCTGTGATTGCTCATTTGTACTCAGCAACTGATGAGATCAGAACACTGTCAAGATGGACATGTTCTTTAGTCCAGGATCCCCTCTCAATGCAATCCATTGCACAGCTAAAATAAACAGCTGAGCACGCAAAAGGCCGACAGCCACTCTTTTCCCTGAAATTCACAATTCTAAACGCAGAGATGTCCTGCATTTGATGCAGTTACTGAAAATGATAAATTCAAGAATTTTCCTCAGTCTCTGCCAACCCCACCCCTCGCTCCAAGCCAATACATGGCAGAGGTCCCAGATAGCCAGTGCTTGGATTTTGCAGCTTCAGAGCAGAGAAGGAGCCGGAGCAGAGAAAACAGAGAGCAGAGGGAGGACAGAGAGAGACAGAGGAGAGGGGGAGCACAGAGACAGGACAGAGGGGGAGAAGCAGAAAGTGTGAGGGAGAAGGAGACTGACTAAGAGCACACGGGAAGAGAGAACAGTGTGGCAGAGAGAGAGACAGACCAGAGGAAGGATGTGAGAGGATTAACAGACCAGACAGACAAATCGACAGAGAGGGAAAGTAGAGAAGGAACAGAAAGAAAGCAGAGACAGAGAGACGGAGACAACAGAGACAGCACAAAGAGAAACTGTGAGATCAAACAGCAGAGAGGAAGAGTGAGGAAACGACTAAGAGATCAGAGAGAGATGGAGTAGAGAGGGAGTGAGAGAAAGTGCAAAGAACAGAGAGATGGCAGAGAGACAAGAAGGCAAGAGGAGCAGACAGCAGAGCTCCAAGAGCAGGGAGATAGAGGAAGTAAGAAGTCTGCACTTAGGAATGTCAGGCTATTCAGAACTATCTTCATCGCCTCAATAGCCTTGGGTCCATAAATCAGGAAAGAATGCAGGAAAATGTCCAGAATTTATGTTTTGGCTGTTAGATAACTACTCACAAAAGCAACTCTCTGTGTCCCCACCCCTATCTCTTTTCTTGTACTTCACATGATTGAGACCATATGTTCGCAGATTTGTTAATTGAACTTTCCTGTTTTACAGATAATCGCAGAAACCTTCCCACTCACCCTGCATCCCACACCCCACTCCCATTCCATCCCACACCCCACTCCCATTCC